AAAGCAAATGCTTCTTGCCAGAACATGTTCTTTTTTTTTAAAAAAGAAAATGTTCATGTCATGGAAAGAAAGCAAATGCTTCTTGCAGGAACATGTTCAGAAGAAGGGCAGGTTTTTGCAAAAAACACTGGAAGAAATTCTTGGCCATTTGCTTCCTGGTTTTGCAGTAATCAATTTATTGTGGGAGCAGCTGCTCCGGAAAATTAGAAGAGGGGACATTTTCTCGGCCAAGCAGACACCAAGAGATGAAGGCAGGAACTTTGAAGGAGTCGAGACAGAAACCAAGATTCCTTAGACGTGCAAAGATTTTTAATGGTAAAGGAGAACTTGTTGACTTTTGGAGAACCTGCTGGATAGCTCAGAGGTTGTGGGTTCGATTCCCCCAGTGGGCTTCCTTGAGAGGGGGTGGACATGATGATCTCTAGGGTCCCTTCTGGCTCTGCCATTTGAAGATGATGACAACGAGGCTGTCACGGACCTTTTGGAATTTTATCAAAAACCTTCCTTTTATATATTGGTATATATATATACCAAGAAGAGCTTTGTTGACAATATACCTCTTTGCGGAGAAAGTTTGTTTCCTTACTTACGGATGAAATGCACAAATATTGCAATATTCCAACACCTAGGAACGGACATTTCCCCCACATATAACCAAAAAAAGGGTGGGATTTCTAAAAATATATATCAAACATGTACAGTTTATGTTTTAGTCTTAAAATGGGTGACTTTTTTTCCAAAAAGAATCAGATGCCCAATTAATTGAAGGAAACTTTATTTGATGTGATGGGTTCCCTCCCCCCCACACACACATAGGTGAAAGCTGCAATTCTCTACATAATCTGGGGCTCAAATCTCATTGAATGAAGCTGGGTTTACTTTTGAATAAACAAGCTTCGGCTTGGATGGTAATCTAACCCCCAACAGCACGATACAGTACGTGATTACTTGGAGCTAAATCACATTGAGTTCAATGGAATCACCCTCAGCTGATCAAGGGGAAATGGGAGCCATATTGAAAGAAGGTAATCTAAATATTGTAGAAACTGCTGCTAATTGCTTCTACCATGATGATGGGCATTCAGCCGTTACTGGGATGGGTGGTGGCTGTTTTGAGATACCAAAGACTTCTTTGAGTTGAACATGATTCTTAGAAAACCTCAGAACTGTGTGTTGCAGGGAGGGAGATAGGACATTTTAATCTCTTAATTTTAATTAATCTTTTAAATTAAGGATAAAGGTTAGGGCTGATGATGTCATGGCCGTCAAAGAGTCCTCTTCTGGCAATTAAAGAAAAAAATGAACCAGAGACCGCCTCGAATGCTTAAATAACTGACTTTTCCATGGATATAAAAATGTAACTTGCAACCATATGTTAAGAAGTGGACACCATGAAACACAGTCAGACGTATTTCAGAGAAGGCATGTAACAGGTGGCACTGTTCTGTGTCCCCACCTTTGAATTTTCTATTTTTCCATCTTTCTGGAGGAAGAGGCTTGTGTGACACAGAAGTCTGCCTATTCTCCCAGTCCACTAGGGAGATCTTGACTTCATCTTTCAATATAAATTCAACAGCCTCTCTTGCAAGCAGAGGAAAAGAATGGGGTGGAGGGGGAGAGAAGCCATTCCAACGAGAAACATTAATTTTCTGCTGTCTTCACCTTCCCACCCTAGGAAGGATAAGCTGTAAACAGAATTTTCAGCAAACCTGGTAAAATAATTTTCGCTCTTTTCTGCCAAAGTGAGAGGGAGGAGAATTCCAAAGCTTAGAGCTGTTAATCTCAAACCCATCTGTACGTTTTGCAGAAACACTGATGACAAGGTCTTACGTTTATTGCTAATAAATGTTTCTAACCTTTTCTGAAAACTCTGCCTTTTCTGTTAGTAAACATGGGGAGCTAAGATACGCGCAACGTTTTCCAAATATATATTTATATACAAAGAGAAATCTACCAAGTTAAACTTAGGGTGTAAAGGGGAACACTTGATCACTCCAGATTGAAACACAACTGTGGTCTTATTTCTAGAGCATGCAAGGTGAGGAAAAAGATAAGGGTTCTTCTGAGCATGTCTCAATGTCATAAGAATGAACCCAACAATCCAGGGCAGCATCTCATTCCTCGAAATGTTGACTCCCAAGTTCTGAGACCTGGAAAAACCGACCCCCAACACTGAGTCTCAAGGCAACCCTAGCCCTGCTGACCCTAGCACTGGGGATGATGGGCATCGGTATTCCCTAATATCTGGAAGGCCACAAAGAGCAATAATTAAATATATGCTATTATTAAATTTAACAGTAGCTAGAGGAGGAGTCAAAAAGGGTGAGTGGGGGCCTAATGCCTTCAACCCCTTTGGAACTGGTGTTGCTGTAAAACTGTCTTTATTAGCATGGCTACATATAAGAGCTGTATCAAAACAAGCTTAATAAATCCTTTGTGTGGAGTGTCCACCAGCAGCCGAGGTTCAAAGCACTGCAGGTCGCATGTAAAGAAACTCCTCGGTGTCAGTCATTGAGGGAGTCCATGGGAGATGCGGCAGGCCACCGTGTTGTGTGATTCTTTGGTGCTGACCCTCACTTTCCAAAACTGTGCCCCGTAAACACCTGAACCTGAAATGTGCCACAGAAACAGCTGAAGATCTACCAGGATGCCTCGTCAGCATGGTGCTTTCCCCCTCCCTCCGCCAACCATCAGAGGTATCAAAATGATTTGAAAGCTAATCCAAAAATTAAAAAAATCTAGATTTTGGGTTTGGTTTGGTTTGCTTTTGGGGGAAAACAGCCATCTTTTAGACCCTCAAGCTGAGCGACGTACTCAGCAGAGGTCCATCCAACTTTTGGGAAAGGAATCGCGTTAGTGTTGCTACACTTCTGCATTTCGGGTGAGGAGAATATGTTTAGGGATGTACCTCCGTGGCTTATCTTATCGCTGTATATACAACATAGAAACGGATGATTGACCATCAGAGGTGCACAGTGCGTGGGTTGTGCTTTAAAGAAAAAATTATGGCTAACTTCTTCCTCCTTAAAAATCCACTAAAACGGCTGAAAAACTGAAACGTGGTCTTAGTTCAGTGCCATTGAAAAGCCAAGATCTCCAAAGGTCCCTTGACCTTCTCAGAAGAGCATTCAGCTGTCCTTTCTATAAATGGCCTTCTTTGTGCTGTATCACACGTTGGCTTGTCGAAACCGAGTTTCCAAAACACGGTAAGCTTCTGAGTTCTCAAGAAATCTTCTGCAGGTGTGGCTGGCATAAAAACTGAGAACAGGGGGGGAAAGTTCAAAATATATACATCAAGGTTTTCAACGGAACGGCCATGGCTCTAAAGGCAGGTTGACTGCCGTTGCTGTTTGGGTAGGTCCCACAAGACACCTCCAACTTAGGGTGACCTTTGAAGGAGAGACCTCCAAAAGGTCCTGTCTTCCGCAGCCCTGCTCAAGCTTGTGGCTTCCTTCAGGGGGTCCATTCATCTCGTATTTTGGCCTTCCTCTTTTCCCACTGCTTGCCATCTGTCCCGACATTATAATCTCCTGGCAAACTGCTAGGAGATTGCAAAATTTGGTAAATAGCTGAGACTTCCATGGCTCGGCTCCGTTCATGGAAGGCAGACAAACAGGGTGGTTTCCTGGATTTGGTTTGTTCAGGCTTTTCTAGATGCAGTGGTGGGATGCAGCTTGGAAAAGACATGTCACTGAGGGAAAAAAAACTGAAAAAAAAGATGGCACTCCTTCTGTTTCCATGTACCAAAGCTGACTAGTCTGGCAGTATACTGATGGTGGGGCAGAAAGTTTTCCACCGTTCCCGAACACTGCAGGTGATCTTGGTAGGCACACGGGGGTCTGCATGACACACTTAGTTCTCCACAGCTTACTACTATCTCCCAGCATCTGCCACCTGAGGCGACTGCTTCACTCTGCCTTCTGGAAGGGCCAGCCTTGATGGCTGGGAAGCAAGATGGCGGGACTTGATCGACTTTTCATCGAAGCCTCACAACCATCTTCTTCAACCAGCTTGAAGCCTTCCCTCAGACTGGCTGGGGCCCTTTCGCCACTCAACAGGCCTACATTTTTTAAAATAAGCGTGTTGATGAACGGATGACGAAACCCAGACATTCGCTGCTCGGACGCTGGTGTTCTTGTAGAGGAAATGTTATATTTTGGACACGCACAAATGAACCCGAAAGCAGCCGGTTCTTCTAGTCCAACGAGGCGTGAAGGACCTCAGCAGGTGTTTCCTCCCAACTTCTGACATGGTGGCCCCGGAGACTTCAGATTCTTGTAAAGAAGATGAAGAAAGAAAGAGGGGGGAAGAGAAGAAGGAGAGGCGGGAGGAATCAGAAGGACCCACCACCACCCCTGGTTCTCTCTTTCGAACTGAACTGGTTGATCCTCTCTGGTCCATGTTTTTCATCTGGTGTAAAAGAGGAGAACCATATGATCTCTCTTATTTTGGTGACTGGGAAATGCTCTCCAAATATCTCCCAGATCAGAGCTCTCTGCTTTCCCTGGTAGCCATTCTCCAAAGGGAAGGAGATCTTGTGTTTTTCACGTCTGATCCTTTGAACTGGAGATGCCATGGATCAAATCTGTTCCCGCACCACAGCATGTGGCGATCTGGTTTCTCCCTCATAGTCCTCTGAATTCTCAGTTTTTTAGGGGATCAAGATGCGAGCTGCTTTGGGTAATTTGGAACCCAGCATCTGGAATCTCACCAAGCAAACGCACACAAATCCCTGCGAGAAACAGGTCTCCTCCTTGGGTCTTTTTCTGTGGAGGGGAGGGCTGTGCGTGTTTCTTCCTGGGGGTTGTTTCCAATGCTCCAATAACCAAATGTGTCATTTTTGGGGGCCCGGCGCGCCGTCCGCTTTGCAGTAGCTTTGGAGGAACGGTATTGTTGTGGTGAAAGTCGAAAGAAAAAAATAGCGCAGAGCAAAAGGGAGGGAAAAAAACACACACACACTTCAAGCGCTTGCGGTTAGAGGATGTGACAACGTCACACCACTGCTGTTCAGTAGGAACATGGGTCTCTTTTTTTTGAAAAGAAAAAAAAGCAGAAAAGGAACATCTTGACAGTCTGTTATCATAGAAAGGTGCAAAAGTAGCAAGCAGAGAGGGGGGAATAAGAACTCGATCCTGCACTCGAAATATGCACTGGGAAAAATGTGAGTTATGGGCTTCTCCAATTCTCTAGCGTCTGTTGCTTTTCCTCTTCCTCCTCTTCTGGCATCTTCTGCAATTAGAGCAAATATACAAAGACGAAGAATGCTGTTAGAGAATGGAGTAAAAGCGGCTTTCCATTTTTCGAAATGCATGTCAGTTTTTATTCTATTGGATGGAGCAGGTAAAAGGCTGTTGTTACGTTCATTTTGCAGTTCCTTTTATGGCCAGGGCAACAGAGACGGAGATCATTCAGGCCAGACAGAGTCTTTTGTGGAAATGAGTTTGGAGCATTTGCAGATCTGTGGATTATTCTTTATGGCAGTGGTTTCCGACCTTGGGTTTCCCAGCTGTTCTTGAACTACAACTCCCAGAAGCCTTCACCCCTGGCTGTGCTGGCCAGGATTTCTGGGAGCTGCAGTCCAAGAACAGCTGGAGACCCATGGCTGGGTCTCATAGAAGAGGCATCAAGCTGGCAAGTGTAGCCTGGAAGAGACCCATTTCTTCTTTGGTGCCGGCAGGGGTTATCGGCTGATTCAGGATGGACAATCCTGCATAGGTAGCTGTTACAGACTCTCGCGTTATTTATGACTTATACGAGACATTCAAAAATGTCAGGTCTCGGAAATGCAAAGCCATGGTTTCTTTTATTGAGTCCCTCTCTCTCATGTTCAGTCCTCCTCTTTTCCTGCTGCTTTTTGTTCCTGACAGCATTATTGTCTTTTCCAGGGAGTCTTAGCATCTCATAAAGAAGAGGCATCAAGCTGGCAAGTGTAGCCTGGAAGAGACCCATTTCTTCTTTGGTGCCGGCAGGGGTTATCGGCTGATTCAGGATGGACAATCCTGCATAGGTAGCTGTTACAGACTCTCGCGTTATTTATGACTTATACGAGACATTCAAAAATGTCAGGTCTCGGAAATGCAAAGCCATGGTTTCTTTTATTGAGTCCCTCTCTCTCATGTTCGGTCCTCCTCTTTTCCTGCTGCTTTTTATTCCTGCCAGCATTATTGTCTCTTCCAGGGAGTCTTAGCATCTTATAATGTACAGTGGACCCTCGACTTATAGATGGCTCGATTTACAGACTTTTCGAGTTACAGACTTCTCTGGCTGCAAAATTTAGATTCGATTTGCAGCCAGAGAATCGACCTACAGACCAGAAAAAAACCAAAATGAAATAAAAATAGAATAAAACCTGCCGGTTATGGGATTAATCGGTTATCAATGCATTGTAGGTCAATGGAGACTCGACCTACAGACTTTTCGACTTGCAGCCACCGTTCCAATAGAGATTAATTCCGTAAGTAGAGGGTCCATTGTACTACAAAGAGCCCAGGTTGGATCTTATCTCGTGCCCATTGATTTGTCTTTGTGATCACCCAGAATACTTGTAAAGTTTTTCTCCGCCACCCACCAAAAATCTCTGAAAAAATGCAAATCAATATATTTGCAGGATTCATTTCAAAAATGCCTTTTTCAAGGTGTATTTTTTTAAATACAGCGAAAGCAAGTTCTACCCATAGATTGTTTTTTTCAACTCATATTTAGCATGGATGACAGCATTATTGTCTTTTCCAGGGAGTCTTAGCATCTCATAATGTACTACAAAGAGCCCAGGTTGGATCTTATCTCGTGCCCATTGATTTGTCTTTGTGATCATCCAGAATACCTGTAAAGTTTTTCTCTGCCACCCACCAAAAAGTCTCTGAAAAAATGCAAATTAATATATTTGCAGGATTCATTTCAAAAATGCCTTTTTCAAGATTTTTTTTTTAAATACAGCGAAAACAAGTTCTACCCATAGATGTTTTTTTTTTCCAACTCCTATTTAGCATGGGCTGTGGGGTTTAAAGTGTGATCCTGGACATGCTTGCTCAGGTGTGAGGCGCATTGACTGTGATGGGGTTTATGACCAGGAAAGTAAGTGTAGGATCTCTGTGTGTTACAAGACCAGAAAGTGTTTTAAGGGTGTGAATGTGTACAAACTGGCAAGATTACTATAAGGGGGACTGAAATGGGATCTAGAACAAATAGGGCTATATGGGGTTTGGCCGGGATGCCCAGGGTGGTGCAGGAGATTTGAGTGACTGGCTAGGACGCAGGGGGTCTGGGTTAAAATCCCTGTTCAGCCATAAAAATTCGCTGGGCTATGTGGAACTGGTGAAGCCACTCCTTGAATATCTCACCTTGAAAGGGTCACTTTTCAGTCCCTTATCAGGGTCACTATAAATTGGTTCAAACTTGGTGGCAAATAAGAACCACACAGTTTGTATACCTAAGCATACAACTAAGTACCCACAATCTGAATATCACCAAATAGAGGGAATGAGAGATTCTGTTTGTTAGGAAAACGAGGCTGAGAAGAGATAAGGCTGGGCCAGAGATGGCAGAGCAGTGAAACGAGCACACCGTGGAAGAAATCTCCAGATAGAATTGCAATTTTAGGTAACATTTCAATAAACACCCTACTCTGACATTTTATCCAGAGAGGTTTTTTTCTGACTGAAAGATGAAGGGTGACAGAAAAGCAACTTAGCGAGATAATTTACATTGAATTGTAAGTTTCCAGTGTATCTAAGAACCTCCAAAACAGTGAATATTTCCTGTGCTTTTGTCAGGATTAGTCACTGAGAAATGTCACTGAATGATTCATGGCTGCGATTTTTTTTTAAAGGCTATAGTCGTGGCGAACCAAAGAATTTCCATTTTAGAAAGTGAAAATCTTATCTTTAGCATCTGCCTTCTAAATAATATGAAATAATGAGCAAACGCTTAAGTGTTTGAGCAGTGGTGAAGCCATTGTCAGCTTTTCTTGGCTAGCAGGAGCATTTAAGCACGCTTGGATAGCTGTCTGCTACGCTGGAGTAAAAGCTGCTTATTCACCAACTCTCGTGAATTCGCGGCTCAGTCCTAGACCTGCCCACTCAGTGAGATCAGCCCCCCCCCCAGCTCAACGGGACTTAATTTTTTCTTAAATTCTGCAATTTGTGCAAATAAAAGCACAATGTGCCCGTCTGTAGGCATTTAAGACAAAATAAAAGCCTAGCAAACACATCATTTATAACTTAGATATACATTTTAGCAGCCTGCAGCAGACAACTTGATCCCAAAATGCCCCTTTCAGACAGTATAAAAGTGATTTTTTTACCCTCCCAAAATAACATGGTTGAAGGGGGTGGGGGTGGAAATTTTTACAAGTATAAAATGTAAGTACTCACTTTTGTTGAAGGCAGACGGAGCAGAGGAGAGTGATCCATGAACTCCATCACTGAACTAGTCCATTTTGCAGTCTTGGGACGCATTGACAGGATGGCACAGATTTAGTCAGCACTAACAGGACTCCGAATGATTATAATGGCTTTACCTTAGCTGATATTAAAATTGGATTCCACCTACTCCCACCCCCACCCCCCCCGGTTGCAATGTGCCTCAGACTTCATTCCATGATTTGGGATGGCCAAACAGAACAAAGCAGACAGAGGGAAGTTGGCTTTTCAGATCTACGGACTTCCGTGGAAAAGATTTCCCGCACAGTCCTGGACATGTCAATTCGGAAGCAAATTTGATTGACTTCGGCCAGGCTTTCTATGAAACAGACAAGTACATATGGCTGCTGTCTTAAGCACACAGTCAACCCTTCCACCAAAAACCACAGGATTTGGAAAGGCTTAACTTCTGCTGGGCGGATAAACTCACAGCCCTGTTCCTGCCCATCTCCAATGAATGCGTTTTGTCATTGTCTATGTTCAATGGAGTTTTATACGCTAAGCATCCCGACTCTGCTTCTCCCCCAATGCACCTTCACATTATGATCCTTGTTAGGATGCTTTCCTTATACAGAAGGGGGCATCGAATGGGTGTCAGAGTGTAAATAAATAATTTATTGTATTGCTGTCTCAGGATCCAGCGGTCATTCACTTAGATGTCCTTCAGACCCTCAATAAATTACTAGCAGGCTATGCGGCCGATGACACTCTTGGTGGCTGTGGGTCATGATGGTTCTACAGAATTTATAGGAATCAAATCCCTACTGAGTCAATGGGCCTACTTTATTTCATTTATTTCCATTTCTATAATGTCCCATTGCCACTCTCCGGGCAGTTCACAAGATACCACAAAAGTGTGCACCAAGACACCATAAAAGACGTGCCAAAACGCAATAAAATATAATAAGCCCTGTTACTAGTTAAAACGACCTTGACATTTTTTTTAAATAAACAAATGAAAACCCATTTGAGCAGCTCAAGACAATATTCACATGAGTAGACGGCAGCTTTATATAATTCGGTCTGGATTCGCTTCCTAAAAACAGAGAGGGCTGGCTGGTGCCTGGAGAGCTTCTGTGGGAATTGTGTCCCAGAGGGAAGGGGTCATAACCTAGAAAGCTTGGGTCCTCGTGTTGGCTTTTCAGGCCTCCTTGAGCGCCACCATCCTTAACATCAAGGACTACACTAGGAGCAGTTCGGACTTGTCGCTCTTTTGGTGGGAGAGGCGTTCTTCGAAATATCAAGACCCTAAGCTGTCATGACGGACAGAAGTAAGCAACAGGATTCCAGCCAGTATGCCTCTGAGGGTCAAGACAAAATGTTGCCCTGATCCAGCCACAGAGATGCACAGCGGCTTTAAGGGGGTGACGTGTCCTACTTTATCCTTGAGGGAGGTTCCTCAGCTCCTCAAGGGGCACCGGCTCTACTTGCAGGCCTGTTGTGCAAAGCGGAAAACAGGCGGAGAGAAGCAACCCAGAAACAAACCTTAAACGGGGAAGACCAGCCGTGGTTTATTTCTGTGGCTGCTGTGCAGTTCGCAGCTTTGCTTGGAAGGACTGCGTCTTGGGAGAGAAATATGGTGTTGCCTTAGAGCTGCAGAGCGAACCTACCTCCTCTAGGTTAGCCCCGAGTTTTCTGTTGGTGTCTTTAAGTGGTGGTGGTGGGGAAAGACTTTTGGCTTTATGTCCGGCATTTGAGTCTCCCGTGGGCTTTAATAATAATAATCATGTGCTGTCAAATG